ATTGATATTGTAATTTTCGGTGCAATAATCATACTGTGTGAGTGGGTGTGTTTGTAGGCGCGCTCGCACGCGCGTGCGCGTGTGTGTGAGTGAGTGTGCCTGTGCCTGTGCCTGTGCCTGTGCCTGTGCCTGTGCCTGTGCGTGCTCCCGCACGCACGCGTGACTGCATGCTTGTTGATGATGGGTCTTGCCAAAAACGCCCAATGTAAATTCATTGTGTTGAGGTCTTAAAGAAAAGGTGTGTTTATAGGCCTACTGAAGTGGACTGTTGAAAAAAGTAATACGTGAGTTGGCGTGGTGAAATTATGTGCTCGTCAAAATAATGAATAAGAAGAAACTTGCATTTTTCCACCGGCGTGGCACTTTTTATCGAAACGGTTTTTTTGGCTCAACAAGTTTTATGTCCATTTAAGAACCCATGTCTGTGTGGATTTTTACTGAAAAACGTTAATTAAAGCACAAAAATGTAACTTGACAGTTCCACGGACTCTCAAGCTTTGTAAATAACCAAACTTTGGCTGCCATTTTCTCGCTAATTTCGCCTCTGAAATCAGGCGACCCCCATTTCATTCAATTGCAAATATATCGGCCCTATTCAAGAGAAATGGACTTCTCTCAACGACAGCAAGGCAAATGAACAACTTTAAGACGATACCAACAATTCCCCAAGCCCAAAAAGTGACTAGAGCCTGTGTCGTACACATTATTGTAAAAGTTGTAGATCTATCCTTTCACTCACCAACACAATTGGTGGGTGCACTGGTGTGGTTTGCGTCTTCTTTACTTTCAAACATCTATCGTCTTTATCTCCCCTCCTTCGTTTTTATTGTTTGTTACTCTCCTGTAACACCTCTAATCTTCGGCACTGACATGACCTTATTGTGTTGCAAGTGTCGTAAAAAAAAAAAACTCTTACAAAAAAAACAACAACACATTATTGTTGAAGTTCTATCCTCTCACTTACACAAGTCACATCATGTACAAGGCTGGCTGCTTCGGCGTTTATATATACCTGTCAGGGCAAAACTGAGTTGTGAGGGACATAAAGTTTCATCAGAAAGATCGCGAGATACTCGATAAAAATCATCTCCACTCGGAAATCGAACTCACGTTCCCTGTGTGCGACGGCGACGTGCCTACGACACAGACGCCAGTCCTGAAGTTGAGCTACACCAAAAGAACTATGATGGCTTTACGTACCTCTCCGGGCAGTTTTCACACTGTTTAACCCTATCCGTACACATGGGCTTCACATTTTAGAATACTTCTAGAGCGTATATCTCTTTGAAACTTTCGGTATTTCTCGAAAGATCGTTTTCACATACTGCTATGCAAAGTGGGCGGATCGGATTAACGAGTAAATTTTCTCTTTGGAAAGTGGTGTCACAGAGTTCCCCACATCGTATGGATACGATAGTAAAACACGACGTACGGATATGGTTAAGTGAATTTCCTGGACTTAATTCAGCGCTGAAAGAAGATTGGCGGACCTCGAGATGGTTTGTAACATGTGTTCGGGGTTTTCCAGTTTATAGAAAACAACAACAACTATTCCAATGGCCTTGGTGTGTGGTTCAAAAGCTTATTTTGTGACTGTCTTTGTTTTCAAAATTGTTCTTCAAATGTGAAAATAAAAATAACTTCTTTCATCTTGCAGCTTTGAACACGGACTTTGTATTAGTGTTTGAAAAGAAATCACAACTCTTTTGTTCACTTAGCTTTAAAAAGGTTAGGCGCACAAAAGCGCGCACAAAAGCAGGCACCAAAAATTCATCAGTTGCATTGAGACGCGAGAAAAATTAAATAGGAGGCCAAAATCAAACCTTCAGTTAATTTCTTTCTCATTTCTTTGATTTTTAACAAGTTTCTTTTGATCACGTAGATAAGGATACTGAAAGGTGTGTGTGTG